TGAGGGTCCAGTGACAGCTTCCCTGCTACAATTGCAGACCAATCTTGTTCCTTTTCCACGTTTGCGGTACCTCCAACTCGGACTGGCACCGCTCTGCACTGCTGATGTGATGTCGCATGAAGGTATGACGTGTGGTGGTTGAACCAACTTGCCTAATGCAGCACACAACATCATCAGATCGAGTTAATTTGCTCCTTTGCCTGCATTATAGCTTTCACAGTGCCTGAGTTGACGTTAAAGTGTTTTGAAAAGGAGAATCAGATGAATACGTGCGATCCCAAGAACTCCGTAATGATGGCGTGTGCATTGCTGTATCGTGGCGATGTGCCAATTAAGGAGATAACAGACAGCATAGAGATCTTCAAGAAACGCTCAATTGTGGGTCTGGTCGACTGGTGCCCCACTGGCTTCAAGGTCGGCGTGGTGGAGCGACCTCCCGCGGTGGTGAAACAGAGTGGCATGGGCAGGACGTGTCGTCAACTGACAGCTATCTACAACTCTACACTTGTTATTGAACCCTTCAAATGCATCCTCCACCGATTTAATACTCTTCTTGCCAAGAAGGCCTTTGTTCATTGGTTCCTGCAGGAAGGCATGGAAGAGGCCGAGTTCTGCGAGTGTGCTGACGACGTTCAGGCCATTATGAACGACTACATCTTTATTGAGAGTAGGTTTTTTAGCCGCTTTAATGAATTTATAGCGGAGATTAGTAAACACTGCGTTCACATTGATAGAAATATGAAGCAATGGTAGATGATTTAATGGAATAGTCAGTGTGAACGCAAGGCAGTTTGCCTCAACTTTATTTTCGCTACCAACACAGACTGCTTCAACACGGGAGCAGAATGCGCGGAACCACCGATAGTTGACAGGCGCTTCAATAATCCCTGTCGGCCTCAGGAGGAGGAAGAGGAAGAAGAGGAATACGCCGCTGATGACTGCATGAATTGCGATCTTGATGACATGTTTGGTGACAACGACGATGGGTGCGATAATGTGTGTAATGAGGACGACAGAGGAATTGAAAGATGTAAATTCTAGCATTCTATTTCGTCCATCCCCTTCCCATGCCTCGGGGACCCATCCTGCCTCCATGTTCTGCTATTTCATATGCCTTTCCCACCTCTCTATGAATTGAGAGTGAGAATGATGGTTTTTGATTTTCCTTTGGCGTCGCGAGAGACTAGGCGGCAGACTTGCATTTTATCTCCATACCAAACTTCCCCCACCAACTTCGCCGTGTTTCTGTCTCTCCGTGTGTATGAAAACACACTGTATCTACACTAGCCTTTGTGTGAATTCTATTAAAAACCTCATTTGGAGTGTCTTTCTATGCGTATTTAGGACAGCGCCAACTATTTGGCAGAATCTCTGAACGGTCGCCAAACTTAAGTGAGTAGTACTACCACCTGCCACCTAGTTTTAATTTCATCTCAATTCAAGATTTAAGCATCTTTATAAATGCTTCATCCTTGCTGAAGCGATCTAACTTTAACGCAAATCTGACTGCCCTTCAGTACTTTAGCGATTCGAGTGCTGATTAAACTTGCATGATAACTTGACTTTTCGCTTTAAAGGTGCAACAATCTGAAACTTTCCATTAGACAGAAGAAGGCATCAAGCAGGGCTAATAAAGCGTTTTAAGGAGAATGAGGGAAGAGTGTAAGCTATAGAATGGACAGGAGGCCAACTCACGCAAACAAGAGCAAAGCAAATAATTAAGCCAGCACAAATCGTGGCAGTAGTCGCATAAACATAGGAGGGCATAGGCTTTCCGAATGCACTGAAAGAGCTTAACAACCTTCAGTATTGTAATATATACTAGTTTGTTTAAGTGTCTTTTATAGGTGAGAGACGGGAACCAATTGGGGAAGTGAATCGCGTGCGTGAAGCCGACGATGAGCCTCCCTCCGACTGATATCTTCCACTCACCTCATCTGCATCCCATTCCCTATCCTTCCTAATAGCAATGCCTAATTAATCGTCTGCAACCAACTTCCTTTTGAAGTCTGGGCATCGGAGACGAGAGGATAGACAGGCAGTTTCTACAAATATGTCTGAATTTTGTTTGGGAAACAGAACTGAAAAAATGAAAATTAGATGTAGTACTTTTTACTTTGGTATTCGTTCCTGTCTTCTCCCCTTAGGATATGTGCACTTGACTTAACTTGACTTGACTTAATTCAATAACTGCCTGGTGAAGAGATTTAATAGTCTTTAGTAGATTCGCAAACGAATTTTGCTTATATATGCTTTGCTACAAAAACTAGATTATTGGTTTACCGATTTTAAAAGTGCAAAATAAACCTTTCGTGTCAGTACGCCATTAACTTTTTATAAAAATATCTGTAAATTCATATATTTCATGCAAGTGGAAATGTAGAAAAAATGACTGTCTAATTTGCCAGACCTTGACCACTTTAAATTGATAGCCACGTGAAGCCAAATAAATAGTTAATATTTTAACTTTGCTAATGGGGTTTTTCGGATCATTTCTATTCCTGCTTTTGTTCGGTAGAACGTGCATCAGTAACTTCAAAATAATATTATAAGCTTAAGCACTGGATTGTTATGAGTGTGACAATGTCGAAAGCAACCGTGGTGCCTGCGTTAATGTTAAGCGAACATGTCACGTTTCCCAAGATGCCTGCATATCGTTTGTACAATACACAAGTAACAATTCGTCCATCTCTAATTGAGTAACTAGCACCTCACTTTTGGACTGTACTCTCTGAGAGAAGACCCTTTGTATCAAAGGGTTGTACAACGAGAATGGATTGTGAAAATCAAAAAGAATTCCTCCGAAATCGTTGTGTCGTCAGTGGCATGAGGGACTGGATTTGCGCGCATTGTTGTTATACTGACAATTGCAACTATCTTGTTGAGGTTAGCCTGAATGGCCTTTAACTCAATGCATGAACAATACATTAAATCATACTTTCCTTGTTTAGAACCCATCATCGCGATTGACATGGCAGAGCCAATTCCTTTTAGTCTTATTATTTTTTATCTTACTCATGTAAATTTGACTTCAAGCTCCTACAACAATTGTTTATTTTGTGGATAAACCTGACTCGAACCCGCTCATCACCCGTCAACCCCGATGCCTTGATACCTTTATCCACCGAAATTTTCCTTACCGTGCAAAGACACGCACTTCGCACACACCTCACAGGAAGCTCCGTAACAGCATCGCCACTGAGGTTGGAACGTCAGCGACCTGGATTTGTTCTATGTTACGCTACTCAACTACAACCAGTTTCTTCGATTCGAGGCATCCTTTCGCGTCAAATGTCCGCTGTTAATAGTGAACATACAATTACATACATCCAAGTGTATTTGTTTTCATGACGGAAACCATGAGACCTCTGTTTACATAGGCTAGAATGGGTCCAAAAGTACTCAATCGATTCCTCGATGACCATCCGAACGGGTTGTTAGTCGAATCCTGAGACCCTAGCCATCGTATGGAAGTTCAAACAAATGCGTAGAGGTGACACCATAGTGGACAGATAGAAGCGTGTCTTGAATTAATGACATCACAATCGCGGTGTTTGGTCGTCATCTTGGCCGTGGGGGTGGAGAGATGATGGGGAAGAGAAAGAGGAAGGAAAGGGGAGCAGACGGTCGTGAGCATTACAAAAAGAGGAGTCAGGGGAAAGGGGCTGCTTGTTTTCATCGCACAACACCGCTGGAGGAGGCTGAAGTCTTCCGACGTGCACCCTCTGAAGCATTGCCATTCGTCTCACCACCACTCTCTGCGGACTGCTGCTGAGGTTGCGGGGGCGGGAGATGAGGAGGATGGTAGCGGTAATTGAGACGCTGATTCGAGGGGATACGCAGGAAGAAGGGATGTGACATCGCCGCCGCCAGGCAAATGCGGTCCGCTGGATCATATTCCAACATCTTTGAAATGAGATCAAACATATCTAGGGTGTCTTGAGTCTCCTCTTTGCAGTACCGCTGGAAAGAAGGCACAAACGGAAAGCACAGTTATCCCTCCACCGCCTTTTTAGGTGTCAAAATGACATAAACAACATGATTTTTGGCTGGTTACAAGACTTATGCACTTAACGAGAGCACGAGAAACCAAATCACATTTCGTTTGCATATGAGGCACAGACAAACCGACAGTGTTGATACTACTCTGACGAAATCAGTAGACATGCACATACCTGGAGGGGTCTGCAGGCAAGAAGGCGTTTTTGTGAATGCGTGGAGAGATGCTGCACAACACCAGTACGTGGACAAAAGTAATTCGAGCGTCTGGCATGCAAAACAAGCAAAAAAAGACACACATAATTGGACTTGGCATGCAGAAGAGAAAAGAGCATGCAAATAGAGAAGGGAAAGAGTGCGTGGAAGGCACTCACAAGGAGGGGTCGACAGTTCTCGCGTACGTAACGCCCCTCAGGGCTGTAGAAATCCCAATCCAAACGACCGTGGTAGAAGAAACCCGTGCTGGGTAAGGCGGGATCAGAGAGAGAGAGGGCATGAGCGAGTGAGGGTATAGCCATACCTTCTCTCCTTGCACTTTCTATCTCACAATTGTACGATTGATAGTATTGACCCATTCAACCCCATGCATCAAGTGAGTGTTCATCCGGAGGGCAAATTTTGAGCTTTTAGTGTCAGAATATGGGATCGCGGGGTGGATGGATATTCATTTTCCAACAAACACACACTTTTGATGCGTAATGAGTAAATCATGATGACCAATCCAATATTCGTCATGTATTTATCGTGGTAACTCTGTCTGGCATTCGGAGTATCATCAACTTCTACAATGGCTAACTACTACGTTATTGAGAAGGTTAATAAGTTTCTTCATTCACTAGAGACTGTTCAATCCCCTGTTCTCAAAGGCAGTCCTTTTAAGTGGCATCAAAAACACCAAAAAAAGGAACGTGGAAGTGAGAGAGCACGTACCGTGATTTCCGAGTCATTCGATAGGGGATGTGGCCGAGGGTTCGCTCCATCATGGCCAAGTGCTCGCGATTATCATGGGTCTGCACAAAGTATGCAAACATTTATTAATACGACTGTCCTATTGGCCATACAAATGACAAATTACGTGTATGGCGTAGGCCTACTTTTCGACTCTCAACCTCAAAAGCAGGTAAAAAGGTGTAAAACTAGGAGGTGGAACCTGCCTGAAAGAGGGTGTAACCGGTGTAGAGTTCGAATATGATACAGCCGATAGACCACACGTCGCATGGTTGGGACCAGCCAAGTTCTGAACAAATAGCATAAAAAGGAACGTCAGTTGGAGAATATAGAGGGAAATAGAGCAGGACAGAGGGAGAGAGGAAGGGAGGGAGGGAGGGAGAGGGGAAGAGAGAAAGACAGAGGGACGGACCAAGAATGACCTCGGGGGCGCGATAGTGACGAGTAGAGACGATAGTGGAGTGATGGTCGTAGTCGAAGGTCGCTGAACCAAAGTCGATGAGGCGTACGTCGGAGCACTTGACAATACGATCGTAGCGTCGCTTCTTTCGATTATGCACCGATATGTAGTCGGAGCGATTGAAGAGAATGTTTTCCGGTTTGAGGTCCGTATGTGTCAACTGGTTGTCGTGCATGAAACGCACTGCGTGACACAGCTGGTAGCTAATGTGCCGCACGTGCTCTATTGGATAGCCCACGTAATTGTTCTCCCTCTGCAATAAGTCAGTTTTGGAAGTAATAGGGAAGAAGGATACCAAGAAAGAAGAATACCGAAACACTGACCAAAAAGTCGAATACTGAAAGACCGAGGATATCGAAAGCCAGACAAATGTGTCCAAAGTAGTCAAACCAATCGAGTAGCCGAACACAGAGACTGTGGTGGTGAGAAAAAGTAGAGGGCGGTTTACAGTATCAATTTAAAGGAAAAAAAAGGTCACTTGTGACGATGGAGACACTTACTACTCATCATTGGGATCACGTTCACGTAGGAAATTCAGGACATTTATTTCCAGCATCGCAGCTTCTCTATACTTGTCCACGTTTTTGATTATCTTGAGGGCAATTCGCGTGTCCCTAAAAAAGTCCAATCAGCCAATCAGAATTAAGACAGGTGACAGGCGATAGTAAACGTATTTTGTGTATCACGAGACCTAATGGAGAGGGTCTAAGGGAATCCCAATTTTTCTCCACCCTTCTGTTTACGACTGTACTTATATGTGCAGATGATGGCTTGGGTCAGCAGACAAGATGAACGAGAGACATCACGTGGAAATGCAGTTATTTACAACAAGAAGGAGCCACATAGCTGGCTGATTTCTTTTTGTATTCAACTGTTAGAACTTTAACCTCTCTTGCCAAGGCGTGTAACAGTTTACTTCATTATCCAAATGACAAGTTCGGATAGCCTTGTGACTGTTACCGTTTGCACATTGAAACAGACAAGTGGCTTGTGGAGGAGGGACAGGCGACCCCTAGCAGTGACTAGACAGGCCAAAGCACACATGAGTGAGAGAAATGTCCGATGTACACTCACGTGTGGTGATCGAGACATTCAACGACTTTGCCAAAGGTTCCTTCTCCTAGTGTCTTGACAATCTCATCTAAAAGAGAAAAAAGTTGTGCAGAGTAAATGGTTTGTCAAGATTCCCTACAATTCTTCAAACAGCAACTCACATCGATCGAGAATGAAGTCGTGTGGACTATAGATGAGGTGTCCATCAACATCATCAAGAGGAGGAATTCTTGAGGACATGTCTTCCTCCGGTGGCTGTAAGGAAAAGGGGAAAAAACATAAAGACTAGAAAACTATCAAGGCGATAGCTTTAACTCACCGCCACACACAAAAAAAAGGAAAACAGTTGTTCTGGTACTCGTGACCACATGCCAAATTCGCCTTACCTGACTCGATCCATCATAACTTTCCACTTCCTGTTGTTGTTGCTGCATGCTGAGCTTACGCTGCTCTATGAACTTCTTCGCCCGCTGGCGTGCCTCAGCCACACGGGAAGAGCCATCAGCTGCCGTTATGGCAGCAGTACCACCCATTTGAGGTTGCACTTCTGGCCCCACACCCGCAGCCGCCGCCGCCGCCGCCTCCTCCTCCTTCTTCTGTTGATTCAATGCCATTTGCACGATAGCTGCATTTATCTCCTGGGTTTTTTGCGTGCGTCTTAACTGACGTCGCAACTTTCGCGATATCTCCACGTCCGACTCTTCTGATTCCTCTTCCTCTTCATCCTCGTCTCCATCCTCTTCCTCCTCCTCTTCACCATCAGCATCACGATGCTCAACCTGCTTTGGAGGCGGAGGTTTCGATGCTTCTTCTACCTTCTTCGGCATTTCAACCACCTTTAATACGGGTGCTTTTGAAGGTTCGAACACTATTTTTGGTACATCTACCGCCACTTTTGGTGCGAAAGTCGTTTTCGCATCGGAGGGTAGTGGTCCGTGAACAGAGATGGTAGAGACGCAAGCACGTTCGCTGTAGTCCTCAGAGGTGACCTCCATAGGAGTTGTTTGCACAAGGAGGGATGTGTGAACTGGGTAGGGCGGCTCTGCAAGGGTTTCAACAACATCCACAATCTGTCCACTGGCTGGCCACAGGAATCGCTGCTGCGGGCTGCCACCGCCTGTAAGCGAATGCTGCTGCTGCAACGGTGGGCCTAAGCGCGCGCGACGCAGTGGAACGCCACGGGAGAGGGGCACAACTGCAGGGAGAAATTGTTGAACGCCTACTCGCCTGCCACCTCCCTTGTCAGTGGCGGGCGTTCGTTGACACAAGGGACAGGTGTCCCTAGGGCCCAGTTGCAGAGCCTCGGTCTGAATGGCCGCGTCCCGTGTTGCGATGCGCTTTCGTGCTGCCTCAACCAACGCTCGTTTCTCTTTCTCGCCTACCAACTGCAATCGTAAGAGCTGGTAGTCTGATCCTACATTAGCAAGCATATTTAGGAGGTTATTAAGTGATGGCGAGGCGACATTTGGAGAGGAGGGAGTGGTATTGCCAGCAGCAAGAAGGAGAAGGCTGCGCTCGTGCTCTTGCTGCTCCGCGGCCACTTTGGCAACAGCGGCCTCGAGTTTTCGAAAGAGCATAGAGTTCTCCATGTCAGCAATTGAAGTGCCGTTGTTTTGAGCCTGCTGGGGTGCTCGGGTACCATTTCGATCAGCAGGAGGTGAGTAAGAGGACTCGCGCGATGCAACCGAACCTCTACGCGGTCCAACAAGGCTGGGCTGCGGTCTGGGTGGTGGTCTAGAGGCACTCATTTCTAGGCATTCAAATCGCGATGGTGGTGGAAAGGGAATAATTACTGATGACTCCTCCCGTCGCTTTTTTCCACCAAGTTCCGATACTGAAATGACTTCGGCTTCCGCGTCGTTTGTCTCGAAGTCAGAGACAAGTTCAGAAGAGATGGGGGAACTGCTTTCGGAGGAGGAAGAGGTTGAGACGGTGTAAAGAAGGTCTTCTTCTTGGGAGACAGAAAAGGCTTCCACGGAATGCGCAAGAATTGAGTGTGCAAAGGTGGAAGCTGTGCGAAGGGACGGTGTGAGAGTGTGAGCACAAAAATGCGGCTGATTGGAAGACCAGGCCGTGAGCGCAAAGCGTGAAAGCGGGGCTTCCACGCAAACGGCGACTACCGCCGGAGGCCGCGGTGTCGAAACGCGACGAGGTGGAGCTGGGGGAGAGGAGGAGGAGGCGGACTCCCAATTGCCGGAGGACTGACGCTTCGCTGTACCGGTAGTAAAGGCCTTCCGAGGTGTCGGAATAGATCGGTAGGCCGGAACAACAGTGGTGGCAGTAGTAGTGGGAGTAGCAGCAGCAGGTGACCACGAGGTGGTGAGAGAGTTGTGTTGATGTTGTTGGTGATGATGATGATTAGCAGTGAGGTTGAGGTTTGACGCGGAGGCCCGAGAACGGAGCCCGTTTGGGCTAGGGGAACTGGCTTTTTGACCCAGTTGTGTGGATGCGAGGCAGCAGCAGAGGCAGCAGAAGAGACGCCGTTTTGTTGTGTGTGCAGCACAGACCCGTGTCTTTACGCGTGTGTATGTGTGTGTGTGTGTGCGGATGTGCACACGCCTACACCCACATCCACACAGTGTGATGTGATGTGCGTATGTGTGCGTCCGTGCGGACGTGCGTGTCCACGCGGATGTGAAATGGGCAAATGTTGCTACCGCCATACACCTTCGACCAATCGATAGCTTGCGTGCCTTATCGATTGCACTGTGCACGCACGAAAACGAGAATTTCAGATCGGAGGCAAGTGTATGCCTATGCGCATAAGTGTGTATGCCTGTACCAGCGGATGAAACACACACACACCCACGGAAGGAAGTACACTTCCGATTAGAAACGAGAACCTACTAGCCGTGTGGAAGCTCTGTCAGCCGTGATGAATTTAGACGGTCACATTAATGGAAGCTCTCAACCCACAGCGATGCAACTACCCTAGGTAGCTAAAGCTTCCGCTGTAATTAGGTTCAAAGTATGGCAGAGAGAGAGGAAGAGAGAGGAGAGAACAAAGAAGACACGAACCGTGGCCAATGAAGGTGCCTTGTAGCGTCGTCTTGGTGTGGATGAACGAGAGTTGGAGAAAGAAGGTGTGGTTTGCGCGCTAGGCGAAGTATCCGAGTCGTGAACAACGATGACTGAAGGCGATTTGCTGAAGTAGAAGAGGAGACTGAATATAGCCTGAATGAAGGCACGTAAAAGGCTGACTGGGGATAACTAACCGAGAATAGCCATGACGATAACGACGGCTATGGTGAGATATGGAAGAGGAGGAGGAAGAGGAGGATGAGGAAGAAGAAGAAGAAGAAGAAGAGGAAGAGGAAGAGGAGGAGGAAAAAGATGAGGAAGAGGGAACGGAAGACTGGTTGCGATAACGACGATTACGTCTCGAGGCAGAAAACATGGGCGTTCGGTTGGCATGACCACGGGTTTCAAATCGGCGATGTTGTGGTGTACCTTTGGGTCGATAGGCTAGAGTGGAAACAACATTCCGATCCGCTTCTGTAGTTGAAGATAGATTTGGAGCCTAAGGCGGCAATAAAAGTAACCGATTATGGCGATTATGAAGGATTTAAAAATCCTATTTAATATATTAAGGCTGAAAGAAATAACACGGGCTTGTGGAACCATCAACTTTCCAATTGGTGGTCCTGCTAGGACTTGAAATTGAAAGAAATGAATGGAAAGATTGGACAAAAAATGTAAGAAGTTATTGCTAATAGAAAGACTACTAATGTAAAGCAAACTTACATGGGAACGATGTGGGGGATTGCGGTGACGACGAGGATGTTGGTAACGGCGAGGAGCAGAGAAGTTATGACTGTGGTGATTAACGACGTCAGGAGATTGGGAAGAAGCTAAGGAGGATCTACGAAGCCTAACCCGAGGTCCGTCGGTGGTAGAGTCGGGGAGTTGACGCCGAACGCTATCATCATTACTACTTTCACATGAGGAGTCCAGATGTCTATGAGACCTGCAAATGTCTCCATTGCGATGATTTCCACTAAAAAAAACACACACACACACTAGTACAACAATTCAAAGCATTGAAGTCTTCTTCCTTAAAAAAGGAAATTCTTAGTTTACTTCACGTAGGTGGTCTAGTGGAACTCTTTTAGGAACGATTAAATATCCACTCAACGAAATAAAATGCTGATAAGGCTAAGGAAAGCCAGTATGATGGAGGGAAGGGGAGTTAACAAAGGAAGAATTTTGATGGGAATTAGGAATGATAAGAGCAAATGCAATTCCAATTAATTCATCATTTCCCCAACCCGTTTATGCACTCATACAAGGCAAAACGGGAGGTAGAAACACACCACAATTATGGTAACATTGATAAACAAGATGTCGGAAGGGCAGGGAAGTTGATTACTTAGTCATACTGACTTATCCAATTCAACAGACATGGCCTAAAAAGTCTAGCAATTAGACATCTCTCAAAACCAGACTTGCACGCAATGAATGACTAGACAAATATCTCAGTTGACGGGCTGTGTTTCGACCCCCCTCCCTCCCCCCGTCTCCCTCCATACCATCAATAACTACGGCTGTGAGGTCAAACCGTTACCCCTTTTGCTTTTCGGATTATGAATAGCTGTGGTGCCGATCCGTGAGGGCAAAAGGTGATAGAAAAAGAGGAACAGGTTGGTACGCCTTGATCGTAATGGCCATCATGACAAAAACATGGAGATTGTGAACAAATTGGCCAACACTGGGATGAAGATTAAGCGGAGCGAAACTGGACAACGATGGACGATCCAAATGTAGTTTGCATAAGCAGTTTTTCAATTAAATCACTATCCGTATAATCTGTAACCGTTCAGTCTTACCTATTAAGAGAGGCACCAAAAGGCTGCAAGTTAAACCTCAATCCGAGGACACAAAGGCTTGGACGTCCCCTTTCCAACCTAACGCCTCTTACAGTCTGCGAGGAGGCCTCACAACCTCGACAGGTAGTATGAGAGGAGTTAAAAGGCTAATAACGAAGAATAGGGCATAGAGGTGAGGATACAACCACCCCAAGTGAAGTTGTGGAAGAATAAAACTTCCTCCCAACTGGATCTCCAGCCAAGGCTGCTTCCTATTTGCCTACTGTTCAGGAAGCGAAGACTACACAGGTAAAGAAGTTGTTCATGCGGTGCACCAGGCGATAGCCGCAGACTTCCAAATAATGTAAAAGTAAAAGGTTTGAAAGGAGGTGCATGAGGATGTAAGTAGCGGATGAATGGTGGTGTGGTTCGTTGATGGACAACAAGGTTCATTTCTCTACACAAGAGAATCAACAGATTTAAATTAAACTAAAAATTTCTACCCCACATTCAAGCACTAATCATAACGATTGCAACATGGAATTCGCTGTTACGGTAATGGAGAGAAAAGATCTGCCGACAAGCATGAATTGCAGTGGTCTTGAACGTAACTGCCAAGTCATTAAATACTGCCGAGTTGCGTAACTGAAGTCTCGGACAGAGGATTGAAAATCGAAAGGCCGCGCAATAACCATACGCACTTCAACAGATGAAATGGAATTTGCACACCCCAGACTGGTGCACATTTGTCCGACATTAGCATCCCATAAATGCATTTTCGTCTATGCTTACAATCGACTAGTCGTTGTAGCAAACAAACGTGACACTGATTTGCACAAATGCCCTTCAATTTCGACATCAATTCAGACTAGTGTTACAGTCAAAATTCGGCAGCACTGTAATATTACTCTACCGAGGTCGACACTCGAAAACCTTCTGATGCCAAAGCAGTCCCCGCCCAAGACTTCACACAAATCAGTGCAAATGGACAAGCCATACATGCCATGCTCGTCATACCTCCATTCCACCTGTTCTGCAGAAATGCGGTCCAACACATCCTCTTCCTCAAACCACTCACATCACCAACACCACCACCACCATTAGCACCAACACAAACGATTTCGTCGTGTTAAGTAGGGCCAAACAACCAAATCTAAAATGGTCGTCCTCAACAGGCATTATTTTCTATCACAACCACAC